ATATATATATATAAAAAAACTCTCGCGGACGCGGTGGTATGACGTTACACACCGATCGGTCTGCGGCTGCGCAGTGCGACGTGCCATTCACAATCTCACGGTTGCACGCAAATTGGCACAATGGCAGAAAGCAGGAAACGTAGCGTAGCGTGATGTGGTGCTACTTCTCAACAGCGGAAAAAAATATTGCACGATGCAATATTTGTGATAAGAGAGTCACACACAGCAACAATACAAGCAACCTTTTTAAACATTTAAACCCTGAAAACCCTGAAACGTAAAGAGGCTGAACAAAAACAAACTGCACAGTCTCCCTCTGTCCGACAACAGGAGACTTAGGAGAGTTTTCAGGGAGGCAAACCCTATCCAGTACAAAGAGCACAGTCATTAGTTAACTTATTTACTGTACTCCCTTTCTCTTTCGTAACCATTAGGTGAATAAGAATAAATATAAAGTGCGTGTGTTTGTGTGGGGTGTCCTGGTATTCCTTACGTTATAGGGACAAAACGTTACCACAAGTATAGTAATACCAATACATTTAGACTTCCTGAGGACATTTGAGGGCAAGTTGAAGATGAGGAAAAAATGGTCTGTTCAAAATTAAGAAATAAGTAAAAGTATGCACAGTTTATTTTGTTGGTATTTTAGTTTATTTTATTAAGATTTGTTATGTTATTTAATCAATATTCTTTTGTAAAATATGGAGATAGTACAATAGAATGTTGAAGAATAAGAAAAAACGGCCTGTTTAAAATTAAGAAATAAGTAAAAAATATGCTGTTTATGTTGTTGGTATTTTATTTTATTTTATTTTATTAAGATTCGCTGGCGCTCTTTCGTTCCGCCTTTGCCGCATTATATCAAACATTTATTGAACTCTTGTTATCGTTTATCGAGGAAATCTATATCGTGCGATAATTATCATTATCGATTTATCGCCCAGCCCTATATATATATATACATACTGTATATATTGTTTAAATAACAATAAACATTTATTTCAATTTTAAGTTTCTGTCATTTCAAGGGGACTGACAGCATTTACTCCAGCACTATTTGACTGTTTCATTTTTGTTCTCTTAAACAGGTCAAGTGTGACCAGTATTGGCCTGTTCGTGGCACAGAGACTTACGGAATGATCCAAGTGACCATGCTTGATGCTGTTGAGTTGGCAACTTACAGTGTGCGCACCTTTGCCCTTTACAAGGTAAAAAGTTGCTTGCCTTTTCCTCTCATATAGTAAGTTTCCAAATTTTTAGCCAGTTTAAGCTCCTTTCTCCCACTTTGTTGAAACAGAATGGCTCTAGCGAGAAACGCGAGGTCAGGCAGTTCCAGTTCATGGCCTGGCCAGACCACGGAGTGCCTGAATACCCCACCCCCATCCTAGCCTTCCTGCGCAGGGTCAAAGCCTGCAACCCTCCCGATGCTGGACCCATGGTAGTGCACTGCAGGTTAGTGCCGGTCCCCAGTCTTTCATTTACTGCTGACCTTTTCACTTTGTTCGGATCTTATAGAACTCTCTTGTAAAGTGAACAGTTGTAGCTTTGCTTGGTGGAATTGGTAGAAAAGTTTAGGTTTCATGTGTAATTTACCACCTTTTGTGTTTTAGTTAAGGCTGTCAAGTTAAAACATTTGACTTATATAAAACAGTTAATCATTAATGATATTTATTTAAATAATTATTGATTTAAAATGTATTTCAAATGAATATTAAACAGAATAATTGCATTATACTCCATACAACTATGCAATATTATATTAATGATATTTATTTAAATAATTATTGATTTAAAATGTATTTCAAATGAATATTAAACAGAATAATTGCATTATACTCCATACAACTATGCAATATTATATTAATGATATTTATTTAAATAATTATTGATTTAAAATGTATTTCAAATGAATATTCAACAGAATGATTGCATTATACTCCAAACAACTACGCAATATTATGGAAATATTTATATATCCAATTAATTTGATTGATCATTCAGTATATGATTTTATGTATTCAGTATATGTTTGTAGTGTAACCAGTTTGTCTATCTCAGTGCTGGAGTGGGCCGCACAGGCTGCTTCATAGTTATTGACGCCATGCTGGAGCGGATGAAACACGAGAAGACGGTTGACATTTATGGCCATGTCACATGCATGAGAGCCCAGAGGAACTACATGGTGCAGACAGAGGATCAGTACATCTTCATCCACGAGGCCCTGCTGGAGGCCGCCACCTGTGGAAACACCGAGGTCCCTGCCCGAAACCTCTACGCCCACATCCAGAAGCTCACCCAGCCACCGCCTGGAGAGACCGTCACAGCCATGGAGCTGGAGTTTAAGGTGACTACACATCACCGCACATATTTTGCTCATTAACAGACATATTAAAGGTGCATTCAGTTATACTTTACTTATTTAAAAAATATGTACCCCTAAAACATGAATAGTACTCATCAAAGTCGCTATGTTGAGATCACATGATCAGCTGAATATTAGTCATGTTGTCTTGATAATCCCCCTGTGTTGTTATCATTAAGGAAAACTAAATAAAAACAATGTTAAACCATAATAACAAACTATAACCCTGATGCATCTATGCCACTAGGTGTCAGTGTAAGCCCATAACGACTGTTGTATCAGTCAGCAAAGTCTAACAAAAATAGCGAGATAATCTGTTTGTAGTCGGACTGACGCTCAGTCAGACTGAAAAACCTTTGTTAACACCTCAATAAATCCGACTGAGCTCGATCCGAATGAAATTTCATTCTGATTGGGATTTAACTGAAATTTCTACTTAGTTCTCTTAGTTGGACACATCAAGGCAAAAATGTCAGCTAGCTTTAGCAGCAGTAGCTTTGGTAACATTCTCGCTGTGGCCTTTCCTGTTTCTGAACGTGGCAACTATCATTGCACACATGCTGAAATTTTGTTTAGAATAGTTATAATTAGTGTTATTTTAGCAACACTGACATACTATTATAGTTTAAATTAGTGCTGTCAAACGATTAATCGCGATTAATCGCATACCATACAAGTTTTTGTTTGCATAATATGTGTGTGTTCTGTGTATATTTATTATGCATATATAAATACACACACATACAGTATATATTTTGAAAATATTTACATGTATTTACGTCTTTATTTATATTCATATAATTTATATTATAAATAAATATATTTAATATATAAACAACATTTTTTCTGAAATATATACATGCGTGTGTGTGTTTATATATACATAATAAATAGACAACACACATACATATATTATGTAAACAAAAACTTTTATTTTGGATGCGATTAATTGCGATTAATCGTTCGACAGCACTAGTTTAAATATTTTACATTAGTTTTTACTTTATATTTTAGTTAAAGTTTTAAGAATTTCGTTATTTTTTGTCATTTTTAGTAGTTATTTTTAATAGTCTACATAGTCTTAATTTTTATTACAGTTTTAGTACATCAGTGTAAACTAAATTAAGAGAAAAATAGTTAAACATAAAACATAGAAAAAAACAGAGATTTTATTTCAAGTAACTTTTTTTAAATTGTTTTCATTTTAGTTAACTGTAATATAACTATAATATAATGCACATGAACATGTGAATCAGAATGCAAAGTTTAGGGTACTCATAAACTGAACATTCAGAATCTGGAATCGGATTGGATTTGTTCGGATTGACAAAAACTAGCGCATGTAAACAAACCTAATGACTCTATACATGTTTTATTGAAAATGCTTTACTATTTCATCTGTTAATATTGCTGTTGGGATATAAGTGAATGCTGGTATAACTAGAATGCTTAACTCAGAGTGGGTTCTAGAAGTAGAAACAGCATCTGGCGCAAAGACTGCAGTGGGTACCCAGTACAGACAGAGCTTGTAGTACAGCCAACAGTCTCTACGCGCTCTCTGCTGATGTCCATCTGTGCTTTCTCTTCCCCGCTGCCAGTCACGCCCTCGCTTTCCCAGTTAGACTGTTACGCCCACACCCCTCTGTACTGCTGCAGAGCTCACCTTCAATTTACAATCACAACAGACACGCTTTAGTGCCATTTTGCTCTATAGGACACAGCTCCCCCACATTTAAAAAAATATTCTGTTTCAGACTGTTTTCCGCTATAATGTTTGTGCCAGCTTCTTTACGCTCAAGCTCTCTGAACCCAACACTGTTTCCACAGAGACTCGCCAACTCCAAAGCCCACACCTCACGATTCATCAGTGCCAACCTGCCCTGCAACAAGTTCAAGAACCGGCTGGTCAATATCATGCCTTTTGAGTCCACACGGGTGTGCCTGCAGCCAATCCGAGGAGTGGAGGGGTCTGACTACATCAATGCCAGCTGCATCGATGGATACAGGTAGCTGCTCATGCCAAACCATTACAAAAACATTGAGGAACATGTTTGCTTTCATTCTCAAGGTTTAGATAAAATGTGTTTTTAATTCAAGTAACTGCTTGCTGCCAAGTTGTGGATCTAGTAAGAAAAAACTGACTGAACAAGCAGTTGTGTTGCATTATGAATCGCTCCGACACATTTCAACGAATCATGAATCAGAGCTTGTGTAGCTAGAAGCATCGATTCTCGTAGAGTTTCAGGCTTCAGGCAAAAAATCAATCCAGGGCCCAAAATTGAATCATTTTTACACCTGACAATGCAAGTTCATTTGAGAACATCCACAACGCATCCACAACAGGAGTTAAACATTCAGAGCAGCATACTTCACTTGCACTTCACTTGCAAGACTGATAAATAAGGGATTAGTTCACTTGCACTTGTGCATTCGGATCATTTTGTGCAGATATAAGTCGTAATATTAAGGTTATGTAGTATAAATAACGAAGTGTATCCTATATGAGATAAATCTGATGAGTTAAATCCCGTTGATTAAAAACCCGCTATCAAAGTGCTTCATTGTACTGGTGATCTTCAGCGCACGCAGCTCAAATGAAATGCAGAACATTAATAACTATGACTAGGACTGTCATATACTTAACGTTATAATGAGAGCACTACTGTAAAGAAATGTTGTGAATTCTTAGGGTTTAGCTGACGTTTTCAGCGTGTTGTTACAAAAAGCACGTCCACAGAAGGAGTTACACTTTCTGACTACGTAACTTAGTTCAAGTTCACTTGTGCTTGATTTTGTGCAATATAATCAGGGCCTGAATTTCGCTGCGGGACTGTGGGCATTGTGCGTAATTCTACAACCATGAACCAAACCAAACTGAACCATGGCTCCAAAACGGTTATATGAACCAAACTGTGGCATTGTGATTAACCATCAGTGAAAGTCTATATATATATATATATATATATATGTATATATATATATAGAGAGAGAGAGAGAATACAATAACTTAGGACATTCAAGAAGCCTTTCTACTGTCTCTGAAAAACACCAGATGAAAGATGTTCAGGGTTTTTGCTACATAAACATCCCATAGTCTTGCTGCAGGAGTTCGTGAAGTTATGCCACATTGAGTACTTCTGATTGTATCTTCCCCACTGAGTTAAATGTCATAAGCTACAAGTGTTAATTCTATTTGCTCAGGTCACTTACATCGACAAGGGTCAGATCATTGTTACAATTAGATTTTAACTATCTAATATATGTTAATGTTCCTAATAGTTACCAGCCAACTGGCCAGGCACGGCTCGTCTATATGGGCAGGTGGGGCAGAATATTCATCCAAAACATAGACCTCTAAACTGAATCAATAATAAATTGTAAATGTGTTCAGCATTCTGCAACTATTACTAGACTATTTTAAGTCGTAAAGTAAGCAGTATATAATATAAAAATCCCACGCATGGCTTTAGCAGGCATGCATGTATGATACTAAGCGGGGAAGATGGTGCCTGAGACCTCCCAAACTCAACAGCGCCCCACAATTTTGCAACGTAAATCTGTGGTGAAAAGGGGAACTGCAGCGCGCTCTAATTGAGAGCCATTGGGGCAGATTTGAGACTGCCCCGCTTATTTTCACATTACCGTACGTGAACCTCGCTCCACCAAGACGATATCAGTCTGCTTCAGCTATGTGTCTGCATCAGGTCAGTAACTAGTTTGCATGTCTGTTTTTTTCTATGTGGAGTAGTGGATCAAATTAACAAAGTAGACTATACGTTAAATCCTTTAGTTTAAATGTGCTCACATGAATAGCCTTTATATGGTTCTGTTGTGTTTGTTTTGTTTATTCTGAGAATAGACATATGATCTTCTTTCCTCACCCGAATTGCTCCACAACTTGTAACATCTAAATCAACATTTGGAGGTGATAAATACTAAGGCAATTATTATACAGCATTTTATGAGTGTAACATTACTTCGAGCCTGTCAATCAACAATAGCGCGCCACCCACAGGATAACGCAAGGACAAATTTTGTCCCCATGTGTTCAGAGATTAGAATATAAAGCTTACAAAATGTTTTTCATATATTAGCGCTACAACCCAGAATCTGCCCACCTAAATTTACGGCCAGGAGCCGCTACTGGTTTCAACTAGGGATGCACCGATACCGATACTGGTATCGGTATCGGGCCCGATACTGGCCTCCTGTACTCGTACTCGT